GGGGGGGGGGGGGGGGGGGCGGGGGGGAGCAGGTGCGTTCTACAGCACTGCCCACAGCTGCCGGGAGAAGCAGGGCTCTCTTTACGTCTTGCATTTAGCACGCTCGAGCTTGTGTATTAGGTTGCCGTCAAATGTTCCAATTCTGTTAAATAAAGGATTTTGGAGAGTTCGTTACCCTTCTGAAGTATTACAGAATGATGCGGTGTCATTGATGTGTGAAATGCGTAAATACTAAAGCTCGTTTTTCCTGTATCTAGTGCTGGTGAGTGTTGTTAAAACTTCACACCCTTTGTCAGCAAAGTGAGCAGTGTAGTGGTGGTGGACCTGGGACACCCACCTTCCCCCCCAGCACATCTCACAGTGGACATCCAGCCCCACCCGCTCTCCCTGGGAATTGTGTTCATCCTGGAGATGGATACCGTTGGCACGGGGTTTGTCTCCAGAATAACTAAGCCATAGGGAAACAGCCCGTCCCTGGACCATTCTCTGGTTCCTGAGCTTCCAGGAATAAAACTAATGCCTAATTGCTAGCCACGTGGTTTGGAAGTTTCTTTTCAAAGACCTATTTTAGGACCCATGAGCACGATGCAGATGTTGGTCTATTTGTGTTCGGTTGTCACTTTTCTGAACTGAAGAGGGCGTTTCCCCGCCTGCAGGTGACGTCAGGGACAAGGAGACCCACCCAGTTCATGGCTTGGAGTAGGCAGCTCGCTCTGGAGGTCAAACTGGGCCCAGGAGGTCAGAAACCGTGGAGGGAGAGTGACGGGATGGGCAGCTGGGCTGTAGGGAGCCTGCCCTCCTGGGCTGGGTCAGGACCTGCATGTGGCTGGTGGTCAGCTGACAGCAGTCTCTGCCGCAGGTAGCTCAGCCCTGTCATCTCCTGCGCTAGGACCCCAAAGCGGCTTATTCTCACTTTAGGTTGGCAGTGCCTGGGCCGGGGCTGAGGTGTGACAACTGAGGATTGACACCTGGGTCTCCTCGCTGGCTGTGTGCCTTTGCTTCAAGAACAGCTTTCGCCACAGCCCTTTTAACGAGAGCTCCCCAGCACGTCCTGGCCACCAGGGGGCTTTCACACTGACGCCCCTGTTACTCAGTCTTAGACCTCAGCCACCAGGCTATAACCTGACTCAGCTTATTTTTTGTGACTGGGGATGAGTTGTTGAAGGGGGTGGCGTGGGGGAGGCAGGTCCATACAGAGGGCTCAGGAGGGAAGGAAACATTATTCCTGGCATTATTTAAATTGCCCCAGACAGACTGACGTAGGAGGTATCCACAGGGACACAGATGGAGAGCTGGTCCACCTGTGAGACTTCTGTCCCCTGTGGCTCCCGACGGCCACTGCGATGAGCTCTTGATGCCATTTGCATCAAGCCAGGAGCTGTTTTGAAGGAATAACTCTTTCCTCTTGTACCCACACTTGTGACATCTTCCCAGAGGCCCTGGAAGGGGGCCCAGGGGAGCCCAGGACTTGGGATGCAAGGTGCAGGAGGCTCACCTGGGGGGAAAATTGTCACTGGGACCAGGACCCTCCCAAGGTCAGAAGCCTCTAACCAGAACTCTAGCCCTGTGCCCCTCCCACCTATAAAGCAGCTTCTCCGAACCACTCCAGGAGCAGCCTCTTTTCTTAGAAACTTAAACGGCACCCAGAGCAGTGATCACTATCAGCCTCCAGAGGGCGAGAGCTGCTCTTTGCCCGGCGCAGCCTGGGACCACCAGCTTCCTGCCTGCGTTCTTTGGGAAGCGGGGTTCCCACTCTGCTAGACAACTGTCTCACGCCACCTCCTCTCTCTCGGAAGCCCCCTGGGCTCCCTCGCAGGCCTGGCGCTGGTTATTTGACAGCCTTGAGCGTTGCCTCCTTCCCACCCACGTCAAATCCCTAGCCCGCTCTATGAGTCTTCTCTAGCTGCCATAATAGCCACAAACTTGGTGGCTTACAATGACACAAATTTGCGATCTTGCAGCTCTGTAGGTCAGCACGCTGACACAGGATTTGTGAGGCTAAAATCAAGGCAGAGCTGCCTTCCTTTCTGGAGGCTTGAGGATGAAGCCACTTCCTTTCCTTTTCAGGCTTCAGAGGGCGCCCACATTCCTTGGCTGGTGGCCCCCTTCCTGCATCTTCAAAGCCAGCAAGGGTGCGTCTATTTGACGCTTCCGCCATAGTCACATCTTCTGCCCCTCCTCTCCTGCCTCCCTCTTCCTTCTCTTTATAAGGACCCTTGTGATCACATGGAGCCCAACTGGCTAACCCAGGATCATGTCCCTATCTCAAGGTCCTTGATCAGATGTGCAAAGCCTCTTTGGCTATGGAAGGTAACGCATTCACAGGTTCTGGGAATGAGGATGTGGACATCTTTGGCCATTATACTGCCGACCACACCAGACATTCTGCCTTCCATCGTGATGCAGCATGGTGCCCGTCTTCCACACAGGGGTTGGGTTGTCCCCTCTGACCTCCTCAGTGACCCTGCTCTCTCCACTGCATCATTAATCTCTCCTCCCTTCTGGATCATTCTCATCGACCTACAAACAAGCTATAACATCTCCATCTGGAAAAAGGGGAGATAAAACCTCCCTGGACTTGGCATACCCGGGTAGCCCCTGCCTCATTTCTCTGCTCTAAAGCAAAATTCCTTGAAAGCGTCATCTATACTCGCTGTGTCCACTTCCACACCTCTCACTCGCCTTCCTTCCTCTCCATCAGGGTATTCCCACCCCTACACTGAAACTGCCCTTGTCACCATCTCCAGTGACATCCATGTTTCCAAATCCAGTGGTTGCCTCTCTCAAGTTTCAAGGTACTCATCCTTCCAGGGAAAAGCAATCTTCCAGGAAGCATTCCTCGCAGGTTATCACTCCCTCGAGAAATGCTCTCTTCTCCCCATCCACCTCAAGGACACACACTCCCCAGCTGGCCCACCACACTGGCCATCCTCAGTCTCCTTGTCTAAATGCTCCTCTCCTGCCCACCTCCGGCTGTGGGCATGCGCGTCCAAGGCTCTGTGCTCAGCCCTTCCCTACCACCCGGCCCAGGAACCCTATCTGGTCCACTTGGTTTGTTCCATCCGGGTGACCTTGAGCCGAAGCCCATCTCCATCCTCGATGGCCTCCCTATATCCTTCTATCTACTCAGTGTCTCCACCGAGATGTCAGATGGGCATCACAAACCAGAGAAAAAAGCACAACTGCGTCTCACCCCAAATGCACTGTCACTGCCCCAGTCGTTGCCACTTCTCGGCACCCCACTGATTGGGAAAAGAAATCTAGAGGTCAGCCTCAATCTCCTTTTGCTGTCATCCCATTTCCACTCATTCAAGTCCCTGAGCTCTACTTCTAAATCCTTTCTCCACTTGTCATCTTTCCCGCCAAGCCGGTCCAGGCACCTTCACCTCATCTTTAACCTGGGCCTTAGCAGCAGTCCTACGCGCCTGCTGCTTCCGCAGAGCACCTGACGCGGCCTTCAAGGCTCTGCCTGACTCGGCCCTGCCACCTCCGGGATCCCCTCCCTCCCTCCCTCCCTCCCTCCTGCCCGCAGCTCTGCTCCAGGCTCGGGTCTTTGCGAGCGCCCCGTCCGCGGGGATCCGGCCAGTCTCGCTCAGCGCCGCGTGCCGGGCCGCGAGCCGTTCCTGGACGGCCTGCCGTCCGCGTTGCGGATGCCCGAGGGATCTGGGAAGGAGGGAGCGGGAGTTCCCGGGGCCAGCAGCCAGGTTTCGGCGGCGTCTGGCGCAGGGAGGCGCTGGAGACGCTCGGAAGCGTTCGCAAGGATCAGGGATGCGTTCGCAAGGCGTTCGGGGGCGCCGAAGCCTTAGCCACGCCTCCCACTCCGTCTCCACTCCCCCAGAGGCGAGCCGAGGGGTCTCCTGGGAGGTGTAGTTCTCACCCTTCGACTTCCCTTTCCCCGAGGCCGCTGCAGGCCAAGCCGGGACTGCGACTCCCAGAGGTCTCCTTGGCCCGGAGGTCACTCCCTCGGCCGCCTGGCGCTCAGAACCTCGTGTCCAACGGTGCCCAACGGAGTCTAACGGCGCGCGGTCGGTTCCGGGGCTCTGCGGCCGGCCGAGGCTGGGCTGCGGTCTCGCCAGCACCCCTGGGACCGGGAGACTGAGCGATGGAGGCGACGGCGAGCGGGCGCCCGGCCGGCGGGGCAGTCGTGTGCGCTGGCTCCAGCCCGGGGCCGCTGACCCCCTCGGGTCACAGGCGGCCTGGACGTGCAGCCAGAGCCAACAGCGACTGGTGTTGAGGAAGGAGGCAGTGATTCAGGCCGAGAGCGAAGGCGGGTTTCTCCAGGAGGGCGCACGAGCCGGGTTGACCGCGGGAGACCACGCCTCGGCTCTGGTGGGCATCCTTCTACAGATGTGACGAGCACCTGTTCTGTGCTGGGACTCTTGGACCAGACTGACCCACCCTTGCTGTTGTGGAACCTGCATGCTCTTAAGATGAGCGAGGGCCCACAGAGAGCCACAGGCCTCCGCTAACTGCCCGGAGGTGGAGAAAGGCATTGCTTGGAAGAGAGTAGCCAGGGAAGCCCAGAGCTGCTGAGATTGTTGTCAGTCCTTGGGTTTAAAGGAATCTGGACGGAGAGGGATAAGCGTTTACACCCGTGACCCAGAGGCCTTCCACCTCCTCATGGGAGCCTCAGGCTTCTTGCTCTTTCATCCTCATGTAAAAGTATGGCCCTCCTTTGAGGATGCGCACGATGGCTATCCTTGTCCTGCTCCCAGTTGTTGCCATGCTCTCCGTCGACCGCCAGTGGATGATGCTTGGGATCCTGTCTTCCTCCCCACCCGCTTCCCACCCCCCTCCCCGATCCTGCTGCACCTTAACCTCGGACAGTTATGCGTGTTCCCTTAGACAGCTAAGTCAGTAGCCCTACAGTGGACCCTGTCACAGCTCACGGTTGAACCTGCTCCGAAACCTTGCACTCTATCCCAGGAAAGTGGTTTTAGACCTCACTGAGGTCTCTGGTGATTGCCCTAGGCTTCCTTCACAGTCAAGTTTCTTGAGAATAGTCTCCATTCTCGTTTTCTTCCTTTCCTCACCGGCTTGCTCATCACAAAATTTCAGTATGACCCACGTTTCCCACCATTCTACCGAAAACTTTCACCAGTCTCCGATGAAGTCCTAATTGCCAATAGACTCTTCAGTTTCCGTCTTCCCGAAAGTTTGAAGCCTTTGACACTGTCAGTAACCTCATGCTTCTTCAAACACTGGTCTCGGTCTAGTTGTCTTGCTTTCTCTTCAACCGTTCCTTCCCAGATTCTAGACAGGGCACTCCTCCTCCGCCCACCCTTTGAATATTGCTGTGTCCCACGTTTCTCTCCTCGGCCCTCTTCTCTCTAGACTACAGTGTGTATGATCTCCATGGCTTTGCCTACTGGGTCACTGACTCCAAAAACGACTTTCAGCCCGGTCCGCTCTGGAGCTCTAGTTGAATCTATCCAGTTAGGTTGAATGAATGAATGAGTTTGTGTCTTAGACCTCGTCCCTTGCCCTCTGTCCCTGCTGCTCCATTCTTGGTTCAGGTTCTTGTCTCTCACCTGGACAATGGCAGTGGTATTAAGAAAACTCTCTGCATCCAGTATTACCTCCTGAACTTCAGTCCTTCAAAAGCCCAACACTGCAGATTTGCAAATGAGCAAAGTTCCCCACTCCCGGGGTTGACTCAGAACTGCCCAGCTTTGCCTCTCAGCCCTCTCCTGTTCCCATCCCCTTGCCAGGTGTTTGTCTGCTGCCCTGCTGACCCACCTCTCTGCCCTCTGCTTGTCTTCAAGGTTGGCTCAGATACCACCCGTGGGAAGACTTTCCTGGTCCCTCCTGGTTTTATGCCGTTTCCAGGGTTTCTCCTTCCTTCCCTGATGGTATATTTCAGACAAAGTTGATTCATTCATTCTACAATATTTATTGGATGCCTACTCTTTGTCAAGCGTGGTTCTACTTGCTGTTGATAAAGGTTTCTTCTCAAGCTTACACTGCAATGAGGGAAACAGAAAATAAATATATGATGTGGCAGATGGTGTTTACAGGCCAAGAAGAAAAGCAAGTCAGGTCTAGGGGACAGAGCGACGTTGTGGAAGCAGGCTGTAGGTTTAGGTAAGTTGATCCAAGACCTTGCTCTTTCCATCTTCGTCCTCTCCTGCTCTCGTCTCTGCCCTTTCCTCACTTCACGGTCCCGTCTCTTCCTCTCTGCCTCCTTCATTTCTTTCCCTTGTGTTTCCTCTCAGCCCCTTTCCTCCTGTCCTCCACCCCTGCCTTCTTTGGGCCTTCCCTGCCTCTACCCTCTGCTCCTGCCTTGCCTCCCCTTTGACTAGCCTGCCCCTGCCTCAGCCTCCCTCCCAAAGGGGACTGCGCCGCTGCCCGTGGCTACCTCCTGTCCCTGTCTCTGGGAGTGGGTGTGGGGGGACAGTCCAGCTCCTGCAGGGCAGGTGACCCTCGTGTTCCCTCCACTGCAGGCTCTGGGCTCCTCATTTACTCGAGCAGTATGGTGGCTGCCATATTCGCCACTCTGAAAGAGACCTGCAGTGGCACCAAGGAAGCGTGCCTGGCGTTTGCCACGGTGAGTCAGCAGGGAGTCAGGTTGCCCACAGTGGGAGGCGGGATGGAAGTGGGTGGGCAGGATGCTCCCCTTTCCTCTGTTTCTTCCTCCACCGCCCACAGACAGCCCCTGCTTCTGGGGAGCATCTTTAGTTAGTGGGGACCTCAGATTCAGTAAAGGACCGCAGGCCTGGGTGGGGGTGCTGGGACAACGTCAGGAGGGAGAAGTGCCATTTACATATGAACTGTCCCACGGGATATATATGGGAGTATCATAAGTATGGGGGCAGGACGTGAGCCCAGACTCCACTTCTTCTCTCGAAGGGTCTGATGAGAGCTCCTCATAAACCCTGAGACTCTCAAAGGTGCCTGCTGCCAGCTGATTTCTCATCCAGAAGCCCCTGCAAGTCCTTCGGCCCCTGAGCCCTTGGCTTTTTGTCCTCAGGCTTTGCCTTTAGAGCCAGTCTGTACCCAGGCCCTGCATCCCTGGCCTTCTGCAGAGGCTTGACTGTCCCTCTGTGCTCTGTGAGTACAGCCCGGGTGTGGGCCGCCTCCGCTGGGCCCTGAGCGAGCCTGAGACCCTGGCTGGCGTGGAGAGGGCGGGGGTGGGATGCACACTGTGCTCTAGGGAAGCTGAGAACCGATCCCTGGGGGCAGCCTGTGGACCCCGCAACCAGGAGGAATCCCAGCAGGAAATTTCACCACCTCCTGGGGGAGCAGGGCCTCTGCCGTGAGGAGAATGTAATTTCAGGGGAAGCAGACATTTCCTGATAATTAACGTACAAGAAACAAGGTCTGTGAGAGGAGAACAATAAATAGGGCTGGGGGGTTAAGAAAAGGTGAGGTGATGGGGGGCTTCCTGGAGGGGGTGGGATGTGAGCCCTGACAGGTGGAGGAAGGAGGGCCAGCGGAGAAGGAAGACTGCCTTTCAGACCCCAAAGTCACCATACTTGCAGTTTTGACTTGAGAATTTCCTGTGGGAATCTGCGATCCCTGAAATGCAGGAGTCCCCCACACACGGATGGGGAAAACCAGGACGGGGCGGCAGCAAAGCACAAGGGGCCTTCCCCTGGGAGGGGATCAGCGCTGGAGAGGGTGCTGCCTCTGGGGCCTCACTGTACTTCTCTCCCCTTCCTTCCCATGGGATGTAGAGCCCGCACTCATGCTGGCATCGCACCTGCATCGGATGCTTGCTCTTCCGCAGCGTCCTGGGGAGCAGCTTCCTGGCAGTCAGAGCTGGAAGGATTCTGAGCCTCCGTGCAGTCCGGCCATGTTCCTGGCCCTCCCTGAGCTCTGGGGGCAGAGCCAGACGGGGAGGGCTAGTCCCGGCATCCCCCACAAGGCTGTGCAGAGCCGGGACTAGCAGGAGCGGATCACTCCAGACTCTGTGCCCTGTAGAAGAAAAGTCACAAAAGTAGATAACGAGAAAGTTATCTGTTGCTGTGTAACAAATTATCCCACAACGTAGCAGCTTAAAACAAGTATTTATTGTCTCACAGTTTCTGTGGGTCCGGAATCCGGGCACGGCTTAGCTGGTAGCACCTGCCTCAAGGTGTCTTAGAAGGCTGCAGGCAGGGCGTCAGCTGCGACTATGGCCTCGGCTGGAGGCTCCCCCGAGGAGAGGTCCATGTGCAAGCTCGCTCGCGTCGTTGTTGGCAGGATTCAGTTCCTCATGGGCTATTAGACTGAAAGCCTTGTTCTTTTTTGCATTTTGGCTGAAAGCCTTACTCAGTTGTTTGCCACACGGGCCTCCCCTCAGCCACTCACAACATGGCAGGTGCCTTCCATCTGATGGAGCAAGCAAGACAGGACAGACAAGATTGAAGGCAGTCTTTGGGACCTCGTTTCAGAAGTGGCGTCTTTTCACTTTTTGCTGTATTCTGTTCTTTGGGTTCAGCCCACACTCCAGGGGAAGGGATTCCAGAGGGAGTATATATCAGGAGAAAGGGGATCATTGAGGGCCGTGTACAGGCTGCCTGCCACGACACCCTAGCCACCACTCTGTCTGTGCTCTTCCTGCTGTCCCTCCCCCAGCCCTCCTCCTCCTCCTCACCAGAGATGGTAGTACTGTGTTCATTGTATTGTTATTCTAGTCTTTGACTGTTATTTTTTAAACTGTAACCTGAATTGTGAGGTTGTGGGATGTACCTGAGAATGAAATGCAATGACAGAGGTGCGCTCATTAGGAAGCGTTCTGTCTACATCCTTCCCAACATCTGATTACTTTTAATTCCCATTTCCTGAGTGACATAGAGCATCTTTTCTTAACCTTACAAGTTATTTATCTTTACCTCGGAGCCAGGTTCGCCCCCCAATCTATTGATACTTCCAGAGGTCCCTGAGGGTGCAGTCTTGGGAGTGGAGGAACATTAAGGAAAGTCCCAGAAGGAAGTGTAGGCTCAGCTCTGCCCTAGTGCCCTTGCACGTACCCATGGAAGCCACACGGACAAGGCTTGGACCACAGCTGACTCTAAGCCTTAATCCTGAGTCAAAGTGTCGTGGTCCCCTGGAACACGAGAGCTGGGGAGAAGCTGCTTCACCAGCACGTCCCACTGGCCTGCCCGTCTCTCCCGGAGGCCGGACTGACAGGGTTGCGCGTGGCCTCCAGGTTCTGACCAGGATGAGGCTGTAGGAGAGCTGAACTCCAGCCGGGCAGCGGCTCCTCAGAACGAGGCGCCTGTCATTCCTGTTGCAGTTACCTGGTCACTTCCGGTGTCACCCTGCACAAGGGCCATGGGGAGCTGGCGTCTTTGGCTACTTTTCCTTTTGTAGTCTGTGGAAGTAATAAACTGAATCTGAAAAGCGCTCTAGCTTTCTTCACCAGAGAATCTGTTGGCCTTGGCCTGCCTGTCCTCGAGAGCATGGAAGGAAATGAGGGGAGGTGGGGAGGGGCAAAGGGTCCCAGGTCCGGGCCCTGCCCTGTCTTTGGAGCCTACAGCATATCTCCCCTTGCCCAGCGCAAAATTCTTTCTGCCCCTTCTTCCCTCCAAGGCTTGATCCAGCTACCTTCAGGTTTGCCCACTTCCCTCTCAGGATCTTGTACCCAGAGCTGTATAAGTCTAAGAATTTATGCATTTATTCTAGATTATCCAATTTGTGGGCATATAGTTTTTCATAGTATTCTCTTTATAATCCTTGTATTTCTGAAGTTTCTGTTGTAATTTCTCATTTTACATTTCTAATTTTATTTACTTGAGTCTCCCCTCTTTTTCTTGGTGAGTCTGCCTAAGGGTTTGTCAAAGAACCACCTCTTAGTTTCATTAATCCTTTCTACTATTTTTTTAGTCTCTATTTCATTTATTTCTGCTCTGATTTTTACTATTTCCCTCCTTCTGCTGACTTTGGCAATTGTTCTCCTTGTCTAGATGTTAGCTGCGTTTTAAGATTACTTATTTGAGATTTTTCATGCTTGTTGAGGTGGGCCTGTATCGCTATGAATTTCCCTCTTATGACCACTTTTGCTGCACCCTGTAAGAGTTGGTAGTGTATTTTCATTTTCATTTATCTCCAGTTATTTTTTAATTTCCCCTTTGATTTCTGTATTGATTCAATAGTTGTTCAATAGGATGTTTAGTTCTGACTTTCCCAGTTTTTTTCTTGTGGTTGATTTCTAGCTTCATAGCATTATGGTTGGAAAAGATTATTGGGATGATTTCAATCTTCTTGATTTTATTGAGGCTTGCCTTGTTTCCCAACATATGGTCTATCTTTGAGAATGTTCCATGAGCACTTGAGAAGAATGTGTATTCTCCTGTTTTTGGATGGAATACTCTCTATATATCTATTAAGTACATCTGATCAAATGTTTCATTTAAATCTACTCTTTCCTTGTTGACTTTTTGTTTGGATGATCTGTCCATTGATGTAAGTGGGGTGTTGAGGTCCCCTACTATTACTGTGTGGCTGTTAATTTCTCCCTTTAGTCTGTTAACAGTTGCTTTATATACTTTGGTGCTCCTGTGTTAAGTGCACATACGTTTATAAGTGTTATGTCCTCTTGGGGAAATGTCCCTTTTATCATTACATACTGCCCCTCTTTGTTTCTCATTGCCTGTTTTATCTTGAAGTCTGCTTTGTCTGATATAAGTAGGGCAACACCCACTTTCTTTTGTTTGCTATTAGCTTGGAGTGTCATCTTCCATCCCTTCTCTCTGAGCCTGTGTTTGTCTTTAGAGCTGAGATGTGTTTCCTGGAGGCAGCATATTGTTGCCTCTTGTTTTTTAATCCATCCCACCACTTTGTGCAGTTTGAATATTTTTTAAAAACAGTTCATTTTAGAGAAGCATCACAATGAAACATCAAATTTTCATGGTCACAAATTCTGTTCAAATTTTTCTAACTTTTTAAATCTCTTTTTGAGTGGCAACAATTTGATTCTGTTGTATTACTGTGGAAAAGTATGCATGAAAAAGACTCTTCTTTGAAATAAAAGAGCCAATTACAGTGAATTCACATGCTATTAGAACATTCAAAAAGAAGTCTTTAGAAAAGTCTTTGGTGGGGCCGCCCTGTGGCCGAGTGGTTAAGTTCTCACACTCCGGCGGCCCAGGGTTTCGCTGGTTCGGATCCTGGGCACGGACATGCCACCGCTCGTCAGGCCACATTGAGGCAGTGTCCCACGTGCCAGAGCTAGAAGGACCTGCAACTAGAATATACAACTATATATGGGTGGGGTTTGGGGAGATAGAGCAGGAAAAAAAAAAAAGAAGATTGGCAACAGTTGTTAGCTCAGGTGCCAATCTTTTAAAAAAAAAAAGAAAAGTCTTTGGCCATCATGCGAAATAGATTCTCAAAATCTATATCTTGCCCTTTATTGAGTCTGTTTATTAAAATCATTTATACTTTATCACAAGGTAGCAGATACAACTGAAAATTATTGAAATGGGGGCTGGCCCAGTGCCGCAGCGGTTAAGTGCGCACATTCTGCTTCTCAGCGGCCTGGGGTTTGCCAGTTCTGATCCCGGGTGCAGACATGGCACCGCTTGGCAAAAGCCATGGTGTGGTAGGCGTCCGACGTATAGAGTAGAAGTAGACGAAGATGGGCATGGATGTTAGCTCAGGGCCAGTCTTCCTCAGCAAAAAGAGGAGGATTGGTACTAGTTAGCTCAGGGCTAATCTTCCTTAAAAAAAAAAAAAGAAAGAAAGAAAATTATTAAAATGTATTTCAAATGGCATCTTCTTGTTTTTGCTCACACTCATATTCACTAGTTTCTGAAATTTCTAATATTTCTCTTCATTTTCTGAAGAATCTTTAACTCTGAATTTGATGGTAATTATGTATAATGTCGATATAAGTTCTATAAAATCTATATAAGTTCTAATAATCTCAATTTTAAGGGACTCTCAGTTTCAGTAGCTGGAATATTGTTTTTCTAGCCAAACTTATAATTGTCCCCTATAATTTTCATCCATTTCTGCATATGTTTTCTTCTTTTCCTGAATATTGTAGCACTTGGTTTTTTAGATACCTTATTTGTCTAAACAATCTTAGCATACATTTAAAATGCATCTATTAATGTAAGAAATAGATCATAATTAATTTATATTAATTAATGTGAATTATACCATTTCACAAGTAGGTGTACATAGAATTTTATATCAAAAATATAGAAATCATTGCTGATTGGAATGAAAAATGGTACAGGCACTGTGGAAAGCAGTTTGCTAGTTCTTCAAAAAGCCACACATAGAGGCCTGCCTGGTGGCGCAGTGGTTAAGTTTGCACGTTCTGCTTCAGTGGCCCGGGGTTCACTGGTTTGGATCCCGGGTGTGGACATGGCACTGCTTGGCAAGCCATGCTGTGGTAGGCATCCCACATATAAAGTGGAGGAGGATGGGCACAGATGTTAGCTCAGGGCCAGTCTTCCTTAGCAAAAAGAGGAAGATTGACAGCAGATGTTAGCTCAGGGCTAATCTTCCTCAAAAAAAAACAAAAGAAAGAAAAGCCACACACAGAATTATTATTACTGGCTACAAACATAGGTTATTTACCTGCAACACAAGAGGGGCCGAATAAAAGCTGGAACACCAGGCTTACGACAAGCAAAGTGTTTTAATTTCTGGTGATGTCAGCCAGGAGACAAGAGTGAGCCCTCAAATTCATCTCATCTCGTCTGTCTCCCCAAAAGATCAGAGGCAAGGGTTGTTAAAGGTTGCAAGGAATGTGTCTGCTTGTGGGGGAAGGGGGAGTCAGTGGCCTTGGTGGTCAGAGCTTTCTCACCACCCTGTGTTCGGCCTTGTAAGGCTGCAAAACTGCTTACATGGAGGAGGATTATAAGGGAATTTGCAGGTGGGTGTCCTTGGCCATTTGTCTCCATGGCAGATAGTGGATTCTGGAGCCAGGAAGCCAAGGAGTAAGCAGAGAATAAGTGCTTTGGTTTTAACCCCATATATGCTGGGTTTAATGTAGGGGAACCAATTTCAGGGCCAGTATCTTTATGACATGACATAGCAATTCCACTCCTAGGTATATGCCCCAAAGAATTGAAAACAAGGGCTGAAACAGATAATTGTACACCAACGTTCATGAGAGTGTTATTCACAATAGCCAAAAAGTTGAAACAACTCGTGTCCATCAACAGATGAATGTTTAAACAAAAGGTGGTATGTCCACACAATGGAATATTATTCAGCCATAAAAAGGAATGAAGTTCTGATACACGCTACAACATGGATGAATCTTGAAAACATTTTGCTAGGTGAAATAAGCCAAATACAACTAGAGTATGGTTCCACTTACATGAGGTACCTAGAATAGGCAAATTCATAGAGACAAAGCAGACTAGAAGTGTCCGGAGGCCGGGCAGAGGGACGGATAGGACGATATTAGTCAGTGGGTACAGAGTTTCTCTTTGGGATAACGAAAAAGTTCTGGAAATAGTGATGATGGTTGCACAACATTGTGAATGTACTTAGTGCCACTGAATTGTACACTTAAAAATGGCTAAAATGGTAAATTTCCTGTCATATATATATATTTTACCTTAATAAAAAATCAACCAAGGAAAGTATTAACTAAGCTCAACATAAATGTGCCCTATGACCCAGTAATTCCATCCCTGGGCGTACCCCAACAGAAACAAGTACTGGTGTTGCCCACACAGCGTGTGCGGGACCGTTCACAGCAGCACTCTCTGTAAGAGCCAGACTGGATCCCGCTCAGCTGTTCATCCTGCGAGAATGCACACACAGAGCGGTGGCACATCCAGCAAAACGTACCGGGAGGGGACGAAGTACGACTGTTAACAGTATGGACGAACCTCACCAACATAACGTTGAGGGAAAGAAGTCAGAGTTGGAAGAGCGCCTTCTATCTGATTCCATTTATACAAAGTTCAAACCCGAGCAAAATGAATCTGTGGCATAATGCTAACTTTGGGGGGTCATGACTGGAAGTGGCTTTCGGGCTGCCTGAAATGTTCTGTTTTTTGATCTGGGTCCTACTTAATGGGCGAGTTCACTTTGTGAAAATTCATCAAGCTGTTTGCTTAATTTGTGTACTTTTCTGTAAGTAAGGTTTTGCTTCAATAAAAAGTTTACTGAAAGAAAAAGCACAGGGGCTGGCCCCGTGGCCGAGTGGTTAAGTTCGTGCGCTCCGCTGCAGGCGGCCCAGTGTTTCGTCGGTTCGAATCCTGGGCGCGGACATGGCACTGCTCATCAAACCACGCTGAGGCGGCATCCCACATGCCACAACTAGAAGGACCCACAATGAAGAACATATGACTACGTACCAGGGGACTTTGGGGAGAAAGGGAAGAAAAAAAAGCACAGGGGCTGATCTGATGGTGCAGCAGTTAAGTTTGCAGGCTTTGCTTTGTTGGCCCAGGGTTCGCCGGTTCAGATCCTGGGTGCAGACCTACGCACGCACTACTTGTCAAACCACGCTGTGGCAGGCGTCTGACACATAAAGTAGAGAAAGATGGGCGCGGATGTTAGCTCAGGGCCAGTCTTCCTGAGCAAAAAGAGGAGGATTGGTGGCAGATGTTAGCTCAGGGCTAATCTTCCTCAAAAAAAAAAGAACAGAAAAAGAGAAAAAGTACAGAAATCAATCATTACAAATAGCAGAAAATTATATGCCTGATGGAAATAAAGCAATAAAACTTTTTTTAAATAAAAAGTGAATAATGGTGAACTATTTATCACTGCCTTAAGTGAATAAAGTATAAAAGATTCCTGGTAAATTTACTTTCCTGGTTAAAAACTTTGAGAAAATGTTTGATCAAATCTCATTTGTGAGAAGTCAAATATATTCATAAATAAAATTGGTATCGCTTACCTAAGTGCCTGAGATGGGGTCCAGGAGAGCCTTCGGAGGAAGTGACCTTTGAGCTGAGTTTGGAGGGTTGAGCCGGTGGCAGCCACTTCAGGCGCAGGAGGAAGTTGTTCCAATCAGAGGGAACTGCAAGGCCTGGGCTTGGGGACCAAACAGCCCAGTGTATCCAGGAGAAAGAAAGGAACCCAGGGCAGAGCCACAGGCAAGGGAGGGATGTGTGAGGCTGGAGATACTCACAGGTGGTAAGACCATGGAGAGCCCCATGAGCATGAGTCTGGGTTTTATTCTAAGTAAACAGGAAGCAATTGAAAGAGTTAAAGCAGGAGAGGGCAATGGGCCAAATTATGTTTTTAAAAGCTCTCCCTGCGTTCCTGGAAAATCAACTGTAAGAGCACAAGCGTCTAACAGAGAGGAGGCAGTCTCATTGGTCTAGGAAAGAAATAGCAGGGCTTGGTCCAGGATTGCAGTGGGGGAAATGGGATGTGGAAGAGTTTTGGAAGTAGAACAGGCGAGACCTACTATGGAATGGGATGTCTGGGATGAGGGGAAGGTAGGAATCCAGGATGAGACCTTGATTATGGCAGAGCCACTGGGCAGATGTTGATCTGAAAAGAAAGACTGGGGACAACTGGTTTTTGGGGAGAGGGCAGGAGTTGTATTTGGCATATGTTTAATTTGAGATGCCTATTAGACATCCAAGTGGGCGTGTTGAGTGGACAGCTGGGGATATGTATGTAGGTTTCTGAGAAGAGGTCAGAGCAAGAGATGCACACTTGTGTGTCATCAGAATATAGGCGTATTTAAAGCCAAAGAACTAATGCAGATGACTTTGGAGGAGAGTAAATTGAAGACAAAGGAGGGTCTAGGACCATGCCCTGGGGCACACCAACATTTTAAGAAAAACAAGGGTCCAGAGCCAGCCCTGGGGCACACCAACATTTTAAGAAAAACAAGGGTCCAGTGGCACAGCGGTTAAGTGTGCATGTTCTGCTTTGGCGGCCCAGGGTTCCCCAGTTCGGATCCCGGGTGTGGACATGGCACCACTTGGCATGCCATGCTGTGGTAGGCGTCCCACATATAGAGGAAGATGGGCACGGATGTTATCTCAGGGCCAGTCTTCCTCAGAGAAAAGAGGAGGATTGGCAGCAGTTAGCTCAGGGCTAATCTTCCTCAAAAAAAAAGAAAAAGAAAAACAAGGGTCCAGCCCAGTGGCTCAGTGGTTAAATTTCCACGTTCTGCTTTGGAGGCCCAGGGTTCACCGGTTTGGATCCCGGGTATGGACATGGCACCACTTATCAAGCCATGCTGTGGCAGGCGTCCAACACATAAAGTAGAGGAAGATGGGCACAGATGTTAGCTCAGGGCTAATCTTCCTTAAAAAAAAAAAAGAAAGAAAGAAAGAAAAGAAAGAAAGAAAAACAAATAAGTTAAATCTGAAAAGGTGTTCAGAGTGGGCCATATTTCCCCTCTAATGTGAAGCAGGTGAGATTACAAGCCCTCTGGGGGTCTTTGTGCTATGACAATAGCTGGGTCTCTTGTTCCGTGAAATGGCTACAGATTGCAGGTAGAGGGCGGAAGCAGGAGAGGGTGCACCCATTCATCGCCGTCTTGGAACACTGAGATTTCTCTAATTGCAAAAGCTCTATGGCTCCCCATTGGGCTAAACTCACTCTCTTTGCACTTAGGACCCCTTGTAAAATGACCCCAATTTGACTTGGGATCCCAATTCCCACCCACCTACCCAACTCTTCTCCATCCTTCACAGAGGGACAGTAGCCCCATATCCATGTCTTTATGCTCTGCCCTCTACCCCAAATGAATCTCTCATTTAGGTATCTTAAAATCACCCCAACCTTCACAGCCCCAGGTAGAAGTTTCTGTGGATGTCTAGTCCAGGCACCCGCAGAGCCCTTTGATAAAAATGGCAAGCAATAGGATATATTGGAGTATATGAGGAAGACACTTGGTATAAAGCTGACTTGGCCTAACTTTATTATTTTTTTTTGAAAGGGCCTGATGTGGCTGTTGAGCACGCATTGTATATCTGCTTTAAGCGTTTGCTACGCCCCACAGACAAGAACAACCAGCCTTAAGATAAAGACGCAACTTCCCCCACATTGGCATTTCCTTAAGGATAAGCATCTCTCCCTAGGCTAGGAGCTAATTGCTGAGCTTACCTCTAACCACCCAGCTGGAGACAGCAGACCTACTACCTGCTGTGTCCATCAATCGGTGTGCCAACAGAGCAATCTTGTGACTATTGTAAAACAGACATTTCAATCATATGTGAAACATGCTCTTTGGGGGTATATAACCACTCTGTACACTCCACTTCTTTGGTGCCCTTCCTTCCTTGGGGAAGGAAGGCCCTGGGCTAAGCTAGTCCTTAGATCTGGCTCATTATAAACTCACCCCAATTTTCACTTCTAGATTGGTTATGGATTATTTTCCTCGATACCTTTGACCATCTCTCAGCACTTCACACGTGCACTTGGGCATGTGCACAAACGTCCCATGTAGTTTGAGAATTTTCTACTCTGGCTAGTGGACGTGGGACCTACCTGGGGCCCTGTGTGAACTTGAAGAATTGCTGCCCCTGTTCATCCTGGGTGTTCTCTCTCTGGCTTTAGGCAGATATCTTACTCAACTGCTAATCAGTTCTCACCGGAAGACTCAAGGGACCCTCTGCAGACCCATCAAACGGTAGCATTACTTTCCTCTCCAGGCTGTTAAGAGATTAAATCAAATTAACCTATGCAAAGCGCCTAACTAGTGCCTGGCCCCAAAAAAGCAGGTGATGGCCCCCGTTCTCTGCCCCTTCCTTAAAGGACATGGTTCACCCTAAAAACTGTACAGTCAATTATTTTCCACAGTGTAAGAGGCTTTTTCTGACATTCATTCAAACTTCCCCAAACCAGAGTTGCTGTAAAAACCCTCTCCCCGCGGCCACAGAAAACAGAACAGTTGTCATTTTCTTCACTTGTCAGCCCTCTCACAGTGCACAAAACAAGCCTGTACAACCCGTTGCTCGATTATTATTGCTGCATTATAAATACCCCAAAATTTAGCAGTTAAAACAACCACTCCATTTTGCTCACATTTTGTGGGTCGGCAATTCCAGAAGGGCTTGGCTTGGCACTTCTTGCTTAAGATTCTTCACATGGTTGCAGTTGGCACTTTCAACATTTTTCCTGGAAATCTTCCTAGCCAGATCACTCAGGTCATTGGGTACATTTTCTATTTCCCACATTATTTCAAGCAGTGGTTTTGCTAAACTTTCCACCAGTACGTAAGAATGATATTCTTTTCTCCATCTTCCAATAACATTTTTGTCTCTATTCTTTAAGTTATCAACAGCCTTAAGGCCCATCAAGTTTCCCCCAATGTTCTCTCAAGACCCTTCCACAGGTGCCTGCTGCCCAGTCCCTAAGACAGTACCATATGTTTTGGGTTTTTGATGTGTCAGCATCCCACTCTGGGTACCAAGTTTCTCTCCCTGTTGCTATTGTGTGTTGGGTAACAAATTAGCCCAAAACTTAGCAGCTTAAAAAATCTTTTAAAATTTTGCTTGTGGTTTTGTGGGTCAGGAATTCGTAACAGGCCTAGCTGGGCAGTCCTTGCTTGGGGTCTCTCAGAAGGTCGCCGTCAGATCTTGGCTGGGGCTGGGGTCATCTGAGGGTTCCACTGGGTTGGATGTCCCAGATGACTCACTCTACAAGGCTGGCAGTGAACGCTGGCTGTTGGCCGGAGGCTCAGCTGGAGGTGCTGAATGCAGTGCCTACATGTGGCTTCTCCAGCACGGCAGCCTCAGAGTAGCCGGACTTCCTATTTGGGGACTGACTTCCCTCAGAGCCAGCATCTCCAGAGAATCAGGCAGAAGGTGCATGGCTTTTTACGACCCAGCTTTGAAAATCAGATAATGGCACATCTTCCACTCTCTCTTGGCTGAAGCAGTCACGGCTCACACTTGTTCAAGGGGAGGTGACTCAGAGCCCACCTCTTGATGGGAAGAGAGGGAAGGACACATTTTAGAAGACCATGTGGATGGGAGACGTTGCAGCAAACTTTGGAAAATACCATCTGCCACATAGGCAGCTGATAATGTCCTGGGACATCAGGTATTTTCCTTGTCGCTAGACAGTTTAAGGTCTCAAACTCAGAAATGTATGATCTTTTTCTAAGAGCAAAATAGTGAACTTAGTTTGGGCAGTCCTGAGCAAGTACACAAGAGGCATCACATTTGGCTCCAACCTTCCTGACGTTTCTGAGGTAGGAAGGCTTGTGTCATGCACTTTGAGCATCAAAAATAGACATATTCATCCATCCATTTACGCCTCCATTCATTTATTCAATATATGGAAGCACCTATTATGTGCGAGCTGCCGGGGGTACAGCAATGTGCAAAACCAAACACAGTTCCTGATCACCTACAGCCAACATTCTGATGGAGGATACAGTCATTAATGAAATAATTACAGAGATAACTGTAAAACTGCAACTATGACCAAAGCTATACAGGAGAGGTGTCAAGGCGGATTTTACTTAGGACACTCAAGAAAAGTTTTCCTGAGGAATTGATGACTTAGATGAAATCTGAGGAATGAGTGGAATTTACCCAGGAGAAGGGGACCCAGGAGAACATTCCAAACCAAGGAACCCACAGGAGAAAATGTCCTGGGACAAGAGAGAGAAAGCCAAGTATAAGGGATTGATAAGGCCTGAGGGAGAAGCCTGAAAGGAGGCTGTGATTGGGTCACACAGAATTGGGGTGAGCTCAGGGGTGGATTCAAAAGGCATTCAGGGGATAAAACGGATAGGATTTGGTGATGGAGGGTGTATCAGTTATCTACTGCTGTATAACAAATTACCACAAACGTGGCTGCTGAAAACCACATCCATCAAGTATCCCACAGTTTCCAGGGGTCAGGAGTCCAGGCACAACCAAGTCCTCTGCAAGGCTGCAATCAAGGTGTTGACCAGGGCTGGGGGCTCATCTGAGCCACTAGGAAGGAGGCGCTTCCAAGCTCACATAGTTCTTAGAAGCATGCATCTCCTTGTGGGCTCTTGGACTGAAGGCCTTAGTTTCTTGCTGACTGTCAGCTGGAAGCCACCCTTAGTTACTGGCCATGGTCCTCTCCATATTGCACCCCACAACATGGCAACTTGCTTCTTCAAAGCCAGCAAGGGAGAGAGAGTGTCCTAGCAGGACGGGTGTCACAAATCTGTGTGAAGGAATCATGTCCATAAAATTACATACATCCTGACACTTTTGCTGGACTCTATTGGCCAGAGCAAGTCACAGGCCCTGGCTGCGCTCAAAGGAAGGGGACCACACAAGAGTTGAATGCAAGGTGCAGGGGGTCATGGGGGCCACCTTACAGGCTATCTTCCATAGAGGGTTTCTCGGGTAGGAAGACCAGGCAGGGAGGTATTAACCCTGGAAGAAGAGCAGATTGAAAGGGATAGGGTGGGGAGTAGAGAAAATGATCTCAGTTGGGACGCACTGCGTTTGAGGTACTTTTGAAACATCCAAGAGATATCACATGGGTACTTATTTGAACACGTGGATCTGGAGCTGGTAGGAAATATAGATGAATGGTAATTCAAGCCAAGTGTGGATGAGATTGCCGAGGGAGAGAGTATGGAATGAGGAGCCATGATTAAGTCTTAAAGAATTCCATCAATTCATAGCTGGGCAGACGAAGTTGGGCCCGCAAAAGAGAAAGATGGAGCAGCCAGAGAACAGGAGTAAAACCAGGAGAGTGATGTGTCCCACAAACCAGACGGAAAGAGAGGCCAACAGCGTCAATACTGCTGGGGTTCATGTTAAGATGATGACCAAAAAGGTCAGCTCCATTTAGCAGCAAGAGTGGGAAGTCACTGGTGAGCTTAGCAAGAGCTGTTTTGGAGAAGTGATAGTGATGAGGATTTTAGGCTGGTTAATTTTAAAACTGCAGATGAGAAGCAGGCTCCAAGGACTGGAGTTTGCTCACCCTTTGTTAGGAAACGTTACATTTGTAAGGGAAACCTCCATCTGTAAAGAGGCCTCCCTCTCTGTGCCAGGAAGAAGGGGGGTGGCCTTATCTCTAGAAACTCTTAATGGGGAAGGCAAGGACTTAAGTTGGTTACTGTCCGGCAACCTCATGTAACTGATTTAGGGTGGTGGCTTCTGGCCTTTACTTAATCTGATTTGATTTTTATCTAAAAGTTGTCGGACCACCCAATGGCCAGACCCCACCTGCACTGATACCATTTTAACTTTTTTACATGTTCTTTCCTTTGTCTTGTAAAGAGATGGCTCACATACCTATGCCTTAAATTTAGCCTTACTCTCCACCAATGTTTGTAGCAGAAGCGGCGGCAGCAGCAGAAGCGGCGGCAGTAGCCGGGGCAGCAGCAGCAGCTCCTCCTGCCCGTGGGCCCTGTCCCCACGCAGCAGCCTGACTGCCCATGGGTCCTGTCCCCATGCCGGCAGCAGCAGCCTGACTGCCCATGGGTCCTGTCCCCATGCTATTCCACACTAGTCCCTAAATAAAAGAGCACTACTGCCAGATCTTGAGAGTCCAAGAAATCTTTCTTTCGACTCCTCGGCTCACCAACCCCACATCAATAGCTGAAGCTAGGGTGGGGTGGGCTGAGGAGTGGATGAGAGGTGAGGAAATGGGGACTACAGTATTGTTACTTTAGAGTATTTCTGCTGTAAGGGAGGAGGCAGCTCACCTGTTGAGGATCAGAAGAGAGCAGTGCAGGTTTCAAATAGTGGTGAGTGAGCAGTCCAGTAGATGAGAGGCACGAAGGCTGGGCCAGTCAATGTCCTAAAGTCCCAGATCACCAGAAACACATCTGCAGTGGAACGAGTTGGGTTTATTACTCATCGAGGGAGACCACAACCATGGGAAGCCTCAGTAAGGGGATTCTGGAAAGGACGTCTAAGACTTGGGTTTGTGTTAGTTGACTTGGGGAAACTTTTAAGGAAGGAGGGGCTCTGCCCTGGATTGGATAATGTCAGGCAGAGGATGTAATTCCTTAACTAGGTGTCTTAATACATCTTATCTAGCAGGTAGGAAGACCAGACAAAGCTTGAACTTGGAATTGGTAAAGAAAAAGTGGTTACTCTTACTAGCCAAGAGGGATGTTTGGTCATTTGGCAGCTTAGACAAAACTCATGTTTTGTTTTCAGACATGCTTAGAGTGGCCTCCTTTGTCTTGATCCATCATAGCCTGACGTTGAGGTTTTATGAAATTGTGTGTGTTCAACGGGAGAACACCAAGCCCTGGCTGTGTGTGACAGACTGGCTTCCCCACGTCCCCAGCTGCTTTTCTGGAACATCACATGGGGTCCCCCTGTTTCCCACTCCCGCCACTTGCCCAGGTGAGTGCAAACGGGTGGAGGAATGTCTCCTCTCCATCCCGCACTTTATGGGGTTTCTGTCCAAGGCACTGGGCCGCCCTATGAAGGCTCGGTTTCTCAATCTCTAAAATGGGCCAGGAATGGAGGCCTGCCGTGGTGGTGGGAAGACGAAGGGGCGGGACGGATGTGATAGGCTCCACGAAGCCTTCTCGGACATCAGGGCTCACTACGGTTGCCCTTGAGCTCAGTCTCTTCCCTCTGGACCGGCCTCCTTGGAATCCGAGCCGGTGCCGGGTTAGAGCACGAAGGGCCTGGCCGGAGGCCCGCGGGAAACATGGCGGCCCCGACTCCAGCTCCGGGTACCCAGACGCGAGCGCGGCTCCGGCAAAGGAGGCCCGCGCGCATGCGTTCCGCGACGCCCCGCCCCCATCTCTCCCCGCCCCTTCCGCGCGCAGAACTCTGGGGCGGTCGGACCACGTCGGGCGCCGATTGGTGGCGTTCCGGGCCCGCCTTAGCGTGATTGACGGCGCCGGACCGCCGCCGCCCCGCCGTCGCCGCCTCCTCCGCCGCCGCCGGGTGTGGAGCCCGCCGCCGCTCGCGGGCTGCGCGTCTGCCTCCGCCGCCGCCGCCGCCGCCCAGCCTCCGCCATGGACCTGTTCGGGGACCTGCCGGAGCCCGAGCGCTCGCCGCGCCCGGCTGCGGGTGAGCGGGGGCCGCCGGGCCGCGAGGGGCGGGAGGACGCGCGGGCGGCCGGGCTGGCGGCGGCCTGCAGGCCCGCGGCGCCTGAGCGGGCGGCGGGGAGGACGGGAGGGCGAGCGGCCTGCGCCGGCCGGGCCCGGGCGCCCGGAGCCTGCGCCATGTTCGCTGCGTAGGAAGGGAGGGCTCGCCGGGCCGCGCGTCCTTTGTGTGCGGCCCACGCGGGCCCGGCCACTCCTCCAGGGCTTCGCGCACGGGCGTCCGCCTCGCCGAGCTGCCCGCCCCGCTGTTCGCAGCTTTCCGGCCGCTGTCCTTTCGAGCGGCGTCGTTCCCGCCGCGCTGCTGCAAGTTCGGGGTCTTGTTTTCGCTTTGTTTTTACCCCCGAGGTTAATCGCCAACGGAATCCTGCGTGGTTTTGAGCCCAGAAGAGAGGGTTCATCTTCTGCGCGCCTGTGATTCCTGGTTAACAGCAGTTTCTCGTTTTTTCCGGGTCTCAGGATGGTCCCCGTCTCCCCGAAGTTAAGGGCACTAGCCCGGGTCCGCTCGTCCTCGCCCCTGCGCTGGGCCGGGGATGTGACATCCCCGTAGGAGCAGTATGACTGTTAGTGCTGGAGGTCCAGTGGATTGTTGTCACCCCAGGTGCAGTCTGGCGAGACCGCTTAATGTTTCCACGTGCAAGACGTTCGGCTAGATGCTGTAGGTTAGGGCTTTATTTACAAGCCTAAGTTGGTGGCGGAAAACGTGGACAAGTTTAAAAACAAGTTCAGATTTCCAGGCTCCCCCCACCCCAGCCCCACTAAATCCGAAAGCCTGGCTTGCGGCCCCGAAGCTGTGTTATTAAATCCCCAGGGGATTTTGCCTGGACAGCCCAGGGGACCACGGTTTGAGAACTACTGTTGCAGGGAATAGGAAGGTGAATGAGAGCCAGCCTTTGCTTTCAAGGAGCGTAATTCTGAATGCAGTTGGTTGTAATTAAGAGTGGCAAAAGTCAATGACTATGGGAGATGCTGAGTACCCCCACGAGTGATATTTGTAGTCCAGTGAGTGGGGGAAGGAGGCGGTGCTGGAATTGGGCCTCTAAAGATGGGCAGACCTGTGATTTGCAGAGTTTCTAGGCAAGGGAACAATGTGCTTAAAGGGGGAACGTCTCGTTCTCCAGCTGGCCTAAGTATGCCGGTGTGGAGGAGTGATGGGACTTGGGGCCCTAAGGAAGGGCTGGTTCTGCCCTCCCCAGGGCCTGGAGTCTGGCCTGTCACATGTGCACAGCCTGGCCAGTGTTTATCGGGCCATTATTCCCAGTAATGATGCCCTTACCCCACTGACCATTCTCACGGTACAGAAGTATCTAAATAACTGGTGCTTGAGCCTGTGTTCTCAGCTGGACCATTTGTTTTCTAGATTGTTCTAGTTGTGGGTAAAAACTCTGGCTTTGTGTATGCAGTCTCTTTTGCCCTGTTGATGGAGTATAACTTCTATGTGAACATGTTTGGGGCAGAGTTTGGATTCTCAGGTGTGCCTGTAAGCCGATCGTTTTTTTAAAAATTTCCATACCTTTTTACCTGAAGTTAATTTGGGTCTGCTCCAGGGAAGGCACCCTTGAGATGATATAAAACCTGACAACTCGGAGTCTTACAGGTTGGCACTTGGCAGCCTGTCACCAGATACAGTGGGGAGGGCGCATCCGGTCCTGGCTGAGATGCCAGGGCAGCAGGGGGCTGCATGGTGTCTAAATGCCCCTTTCCAGGAGAGTGGGTTAGTGCGCGGCTCCCTGCCTGTGGGGAGGGCGCTGACACTCTCAACAGGCCCTGCTTGGCTGCGTGTATTTTTAAAAATAGCTTTAAAAACAAAGAAGGCATGGTTCTGAATTTGTAGATGACAGGAAGCTGAGAAGGGATAAGTACTAAACTGAGTGACAGAATGGGGATCCAGAGTTATCTTGACAGGCAGTTAAGTTAACCAACAAGACAAGATGTAACGGGTTAAAAAAATCAACAACAGTCTGATTTCACAGACTTGTGGAAGTACTGTGGTTTTTGAGAAATTAATTTACACATCATACTTTGTTTCAGAAAATCTATGGTATTGACTGATAAAATTTAAAATAGAGTAAATGAAAGGAAAATAAGGTTGGGTTCATAAAGTGGATGGAAAGATGAGGCTAAAGTGCACCATCATGACCCTCACACATGATTGCAGGTGCCACAAATTTTTGAGTTAATGCAGGAAACAATAAAAGACCTGGTCATTTTCATAGTCCCCATAAAGAGTTGTTCGGGACATGTGATCAGACTGGTTTCAAATCCCAAGGCTGCTCTTCTAGCCATGCCTTCTGTGGCTGTTCCCACGTCTGTAAAAGAGAGTGTCGCCTCCTACTGTTAGCACGTGGGTTAGAGAGCGCTCCATGCATGGTGCTTGGGGCGGAGAGGAGAGAGGAGCGGGAGGTCATGCCTAGGAGGTGCTAGTCAAGGAGCCGCTATCTTTAGCAGCTACTTCACAGGGGGAAAGAGGGCACTTTCAAATGGATTTTGAGAAAATGCTAAGTGTCCAAAGAGGAAATGTACTGCTCAGATCACATCAAGTGTATTTTGTTTAGTTCTTTGATTTTTGTTTTAAACATCACATCTAATGTTCTTATCTCCAAGCCTCTTAATTTTTATAGTCTGAAGAAAAATGTAGAAAGAACGCATTGAATGTTTTCAGATTTTGTGCTAGATTGGTAGTTTTCATCCCAGCACTTACAGATTTGATTGCTGAGTGCATCAAGTTTTTTCGGTATATACAGTTTACCTAAAAGAGGAAGTGGAACTTCTCTGCTCTTTCATACTCGTGACAGTGCTGCCTTGGTGTCTTTAAGGTTAGCAAATTAAAGGGGATCTGTTTTAAAGTTGGATTCAGCCATAACTTGGTTTCAGTGGTTCTTTCACTTTCTGGGTAGCTACACCGGTACACTTTACAACTGATGGTCAGCTGTCAGGGACTAAATGTTTGCTTGGCAGGCCATCTTTAAACTAATTCTTGTAAAGGACTTGTAGATCTGAATATAAAAGAAAGGTTAAGCTACTAGAAAAAAACTTAGACTGATTTCAAAATGTCAGGGTTAAGCAGGAAAAAACTCGTCATAAAAACAAAATGGATTTAACTATGTAAAAATAAAACATTTCTGCAGGACAAAATACTACAAAGGCAAATGACAAACTGAGAGAAAATAATGGCAGTACACATTATTAAAAGTTACTATTCCTGATAAGTGAGGAATAACCCATTAGAAAATAGCTGAAGGACGAATCCTGACAGTTTATAGAAGAAGAAATGGTCCCATCAACAGGGACCAATGCTCAGCTTCCTCAGTCACTGAGGAAGGGACTAGGAAATCACTGACCTACCATGTTTTTCACCCATTAGATTTAAAAATTGGCAACGTGGTGGTGAGGATGTAGAGAAATGGACATTCTCATGAATAGTGTTGGGAGTCGAAGTTACCACAACTTTCTTTGGAACAAATTTTGGCATCTGTCAAATTTAAACTACATCTACCCTTTCACTGGCAATCATTGCAGATTTTGTAAAGATATATGTCTATTAAGGTTGTTTATTGTGGCATTATTTGTCATTTGGAAAACCGGAATCAGCCTGCATGCCCATCGATAAGAGAACTGGAAATGAGTGGCTAGGCTTCCTATATAATAGTGTGCAGCTGTTGGAAAGAGTAATTAGAGCCAGGTGTGCTGGCCTGGAACATGCCTGATGGCTTACGTGAGCAATGATGTATGTAGACTATTGTGTACGGTACGCTTGTACCTTTTAAAAATTAATCCACATACACAAGTACCTGAGCATAGAGGAAGGTGGAACATACACACTCAGCTGTTACTGTGGTTGGCGGGTGTGGTGGGGAGTCAGGGCCTTTTTCTCATACCTCTGTGGTGTTTGGAAAACATGTATTGTGTTTGTAGTTCAAAAGAAAATTCAAGTATAAAAAACAATTTAGGCAACATTATTTAAGGTCTTTTTGTTGCTTTATTGTCCATAGCGACTTTTAGTTAACCTGAATGTGATCAACCCAAGAGTATTCTCAGCATAGTATATAACTTTCAGTAGACCTAGCTTCAGAGTACTGTAGATAACTAAAAAAAATCCCAGGTGAGATTAACTGTAATGAAAAACTGTCTTCAGTCTTGTGTCATTCTTTATTAGGGTTCTTATATTTAGCACCCTGGGGCCTCTTCGAAGTTTTTGGTCAAAGTCACACTTTGTCCAATAATTGTAGCCCCAAATTACTTTCTTGGAATTACTTGTTATCCGAAATAGAATGTAAGGTTCAGCTAACCAGAAGTTCCTTCATAGCATCTTTGACCTACAGATTTTTTTTAAAGAATCCAGATACAAGCTGTTCTAAGTTTGATCCTTTTGGTGATGCAAAAGGTATTGCAGAGATCTTACAGAGCCTCAGGATTATCTTCATGGGGTTGTTGTGAGGGTCATGTAGTAGTGATCCTTGTGAAGTTCCTAGAATGGGGCCTGCATCTGGAGGCGGGGTAGCACCTCGCCTAGAGCATGGATGGGAAGCCAGGCTGCCTAGGTTTGAACCCCCACTCCTCACTGGCTCTCTCTCTTGGACAGTTATTTGACCTAAGTGCCTCAGTTTCCTCATCAGTAAGTAACAATAGTAATAGTACCCACCTCATAAGGTTATTGTAAGGATTAGATGCATTAAAATATGCAGAGCA